AGGAGGTGCTAAAACCATCCCACTGGTGCACAAACAAGTCCTCCCAGCTCCTCAGAGGAATGGTACAGGAGGCCAGGCTGCCCAGGAGCCTTTTTTGGGGGCACAGGGGCTGCAAGCTCCCAGCCTGGGCTGCTCTCAGGGGTGCTGCTCTCTGAGAGCCTGTGGCACAGGCCCATGTCACACCTGTGTGTCAACAGCTGCCACCAAAGGTCCCCCCACCCGCAGGCACAGGCTGCACCTGCAATGCCTGCAGCTTTACTCCACTGGATATATCCCTGGAAAAACTCATCAGAAGTTACTGGAGGGGATGGGGGCCTGGAGAGGAAAAGCAAGGGACAAGGAAGCAAACACTGACCATGCTGCTTCCCACAGCTGTGCAGTGACACAGGAGGACTTGCTCCTGGGGTCTCACCTGCTTCCTGGTGCACTGGAGAACAGTGATGGGGGAGCCTTTGTGGTCAGCCACGACATGGATGGTCATTCCAGTGCGAGGGCTGCTCACAGCCACCAGCCCATCCTTGCCCCCTGATAAGATCATTTCTCCTGAAAGGAGACAAAAGAATGGGACCCTTGAGAAGAATAGCCAAGAGGAGAAAGGTCCAAGATCATGGGATATTGGTGTCCCAAAACACTGTGAAAGGCTGGGAACATCCCAGTCAAGGGCTGGGTAAAATGAGGTGTCTCAGACACACATTAAATCTCCACACTGAAGAAGAGCCATGGTAGATCATAAGCAGGAGAGCACAAAAGGGTTTGTGGCACCCAAACCCCTTTGTTACCCCATTGCCAGTACACCTCCCACCTCCTATTTACCACATGCTCAGCTGGCAGAGCCACCAAAGCTCACTGAGACGAGTTCTGTGGCTCTCCCTGGCCCCAGGGTTTTTGGCAGGTGGCCAGGACACAGAGCAGCTGGAGGTCAGGGTAACCCAGGCAGCACCAGGCCACACGTCCCTGCTGTGACCTTGGGCAGTCTCACCGTCCGTGGAGTAGGTGATTGCTGTCAGTGCAGCGTTGTGGGGGTGCATTTTCAGCTCCATTTCTGTCCTGGAAACACTGAACACACGGATGGTGCCATCACTGTATCCTGCCACCACGTGCTGGCTCTCAGCTCCCCACAGCCCGATGGGACGAGGCTTCCAGGCCAGGCACTGGCAGCTCTGCGAAGGAACCAGAGATGACACAGTGGATACCTCCCTGTGCCAAGAGGAAGGGATTGATGTACCACAAACACTTACCTGGTTGAGCACCTGGAACTGGACCACCAGCTCTGTGCTGCTCAGAGCCCAGACCCTCACGCTGCCATCCTCCCCGCACGTGGCACAGTGAGTCTCGTCAGGACTGAAGCACACCTCGGTCACCTGCACCAGGGACAAGGTGGGCAACAGGGGCTCTACAGGTGCCACAGCCCAAAGCACATCAGCTCCTCTGCCCCTCTATCCACTCTTGGGAGACATCAGACAAGATGGAACACAAAGGAAGGTGGATGCTTTGGTTTTGGGTTTAAATTGTGGGCTGACAGGACGAGAGGAAATGGCTTCAAGTTGCACCAGGGAAGGTTTAGATTGGATATTAGGAAGTATTTCTTTGTTGAAAGGGTTGCAAAGCACTGGAACAGGCTGCCCAGGGCAGTGGTGGAGTCACCATCCCTGGAGGTGTTCAAAAGATGTGTGGATGTG